CTACTGAGCATAGATCTAACCTCACACCAACATCAAACACAGCACCAAGCACAGCATTGAGCACAGCATCAGGCACAGCATTAGGCATGGCGCCCAACCCAACATCTAATGCAACACCCAACACGTCATCTCACGCAACAACACCCTCCTTTCAGCTACTCAATGAAGAAGAACTCTAGATCTCCGCAATTCCTGCAGATTATGCAAGTCAACGTAGGAAAAGGGGGCCCAGCACACGAGACGGCCCTCAATCTAGCGTTTGAAAGAAAGACTGACATCCTTCTCATACAGGAACCCTGGATTCACAGGAACTTAAGCCAACGCATCTCCAAAAAGCATCCAGCATTCAACTGCTTTGCCCCAATTGAAAAGTGGGACAGGAAGCCACGGGTCCTCACCTATGTGCGTAAACACCCACAAATCCATGCTCATGCAGTCCCAGGCCCCTGGGCAGAAAACCAGGACATCCACATGCTGCACATACAGGCCTGGGGTCTACAGCTTCAGACAGTCAACATATACAATGCACCCCCAGGCGCAGAGGATCCTGGACAAGGTGTGGGCTGTCTTCTCTCCTGGTCTGTCCCAGCACTCCCGTTGCTCCTTGCTGGCGACCTCAATATCAAGCACCCCGTGTGGCAACCAGGAGTGCCTCCAAGCATGTGGGCGGAACCATTCCTGCAATGGACCATGAATTTCAACTTTACTCTCACCATGGACCCAGACACTCCCACACGTGGGCATAACATGATAGACCTGGCCTGGGCCACCCCGGAATTAGTTATCAAAGGAGTGGACACACAGGTGGACAGATCCCTTTACACTTCCTCTGACCACCAGACTCTTCTCACCAAAATCAGCCTTCCACAGGGCGCAAGGCCTGACAGGCCAACCCATTTTTTCCGTCTCGACACCATGAATGAGAAGGTCTTTAACCAGACGCTGGAGGCCTATAAGCCAAAACTAGACAAACTATGTGATATCCCAGAGTACCCCAATACAGATCAGCTGGATGCCCTGGCTAAAGGTATCACAGATGCACTAATAGCTTCCCTGGAAAGTTCCACCAAGAAGAGCACCGGGCAAGGCACAGGTCAGCCATGGTGGAATGAGGACTGCCAGAAAGCAGTGACAACACTACATCGTGCACAGCGCCTAGGCTCTAGTTTTTTACAAGAAGCAAAAAGCAACGTAGCCAGGACCACCAGGAAAGCCAAGAGAGAATACTGGCGAGGCAAGATAGCAGAGGCCTCAGTGGGGAAAGATATCTTTAAGATGATCAAATGGGCCCATTCAACTGGCTCCTTTCATTCCCCCCCTCTTGTAGATGAAGAGACTGGGCGAACGCGAACAACCCCTAGAGAGAAAAGAGACCTTCTGCAACGGGTGCTCTTACAGAAGGCTGCAAGCAGAGAGGATATCCCAATTAGCTGGTCCAACCCACCATCTGTCAAATTACCTTTTCCTGTTGCCTCAGCACATGAGATACAAAGTTCTCTGCTGAACACGGGTAATACCACTCCAGGAACTGATGGAGTGCCAACAGAGGTGCTACAAAAGGCATGGCCACATATTAAGGTATCAGTGGAAAGGCTGTTCAGAGCCTGCCTTAGGGTTGGCTGGCACCCAACCTCCTTTCGAGATGCCACACTGGTTGTGCTGCCTAAGGTCAACAGAGATCCAACACTCCCGCGATCCTACAGGCTTATAGCCCTTCTCTCAACGTTGGGGAAGGGACTGGAATGCCTGGTAGCCCGTAGGCTGGCCTGGACAGCTATACAAGAGAAGATTGTCCACCCCCAGCATTTTGGAGCCCTCCCTGGGCGGGCTGCCTCAGACCTAGTGGCAGCGATGGTTCATGATATAGAGGAAGCCTGGGCCCATGGAAAAGTAGTCTCTCTTCTTACTCTGGACATCAAGGGTGCTTTTGATGCTGTACTCAGAGGAAGGATGCTGCGGAGATTGCAAGAACAAGGCTGGCCACCAAATTTAATTAGATGGGTGGAAAGCTTCATGACAGGACGCACAGGCAGGATCAGATTGGATGGACTCCTGGGAGAGCTCTTTGATATCCCAGCAGGGCTTCCACAAGGCTCGCCAGTCTCACCTATTCTATTCATGCTGTTTATTCAGCCTCTGTTCTTTCTAGGAACTATACAAAGAAGACGTGCACGCTTAGGCTACGCAGATGATCTAGGACTGCTTAGTGCTGGAACCACTCTTGAAGGGAATGTTGTTACTCTCCAGGAGGATTTCAAGTTGCTAAATGATTGGGCCAGCAAAGAAGGGCTGACATTTGATTTTGCCAAAACTGAGATAGCACACTTCACATGGCGCAGAACCCTTTCAAACCCCTCAATCAACCTTGAAACAACATCTGGCACTCACTCTATTACAGCAAAGGCAGTGAAAAGCTCCATAAGATATCTAGGAATCTGGCTAGATAGAAAACTGAGCTTCAAGAAACACGTGGAGACCATGGCGGCTAAGGCACGACAGGTGTCTAATGGCATACAAGCACTAAGCAACACAGCAAGAGGTGCCTCAGTACAACTGCTTAGACAATCCATTCAGGCCTGTGTGCTCTCTGTGCTCTGCTATGGAGCAGAGGCCTGGTGGCCTGGAGCCACACAAATGGAGAAGGGAAAGGAAATCTCCAATTGAATGGATTGCCTAGTCAGAAAGCTAGATCTAGCCCTTAGAGATGCTTTGCGAGGGGCACTGCCAGTCTACAAGACCACACCCATTTCAGCTCTACACCGTGAGCTAGGAATCATGCCAATGAAAGAGACACTAGACAACCGGCGTGCTGTATTTGCAGTAAGAATCAAAAAGCTTGACAAGAGGCACCCACTAGTGAGACGCTCTAATAAAGTAGCTACCACCAAACCCTATACCACACGTCTGTCTAGAGCGTCCAGTCATGCTGGTGGGATAGAAGCATATGACCCTCTACTCACACCCCCTTGGATGAGATTTCCCAGGAAAGAAGATCTGCAGATTGGGTATGAGGCAGGCCGCACAAAGAAACAGGCAGCACAAGACTTTAAGAGCTGGCTACAACAACGCAATCCCCTGGATCTGATGGTCTTTACCAATGGTTCACAGATAGAGCACCCTCAGCGTGCGACTGGTGCAGGATGGGCTATATGCTGGGGTAGCAAACACCGTCTAATCTCCACAGGAAACCTGCCAATGGATAAAGCAGAGGTCTTTGACGCAGAGGCAATGGCAGCCCTGCAGGGCCTAAAGGAAGCCACCACCTTGCCTCAGGCGAAGTTTGCCAGCAATGTCTACATTTGCCTAGACAATTTGGAGGTAGCACGAGCCCTTGGATCTGTGCCAAACACCTCTAGCCAGCAGGTCTTCGCGCAGTTTCTGAAAGCCATAAAGGCCTGGCAGAGCAGGGATAGGCTCCCATTGGCCACCCAGAGCAGGGTGGTCATTAGATGGGTCCCAGGCCACGCAGGCGTGGCTGGTAATGAAAAGGCAGATCTTGAAGCCAAAGCAGCTGCAGCGCAGGCAGCAAGTGCAAGCATGGTACCTCAACCTGACAGCATAGACACTCTAGCTTATATAAAGTGACACACTATGGAACAAACCACACGGGCCTTTGAGAACTACTGGGCCAAAAATCGGCCCAAACGCTATATGGAGCTGGAGATCCCACTAAAGAGAGCCTCAACAGAGGTAAAACTTTCACGCTTCACATTAGGAAAGCTCTATGCCGCCCGATCAGGTCATGGAGACTTTGCAGCCTACCACAGCCACCTTAAGCATGAAGATGCAGAGTGCTACTGCCGGTGCGGACATAGCAAAACTCCAGAACATTTCTACTATTGCACTCTTGCAAGAAAAGCAGCAAAGCAGCGCCGGCCTATCTACAATCTCCGTGAGACACTGGCAACCTCGCGTGGGGCCCTAGAATTCAATAACTGGCTAAGAGAAACAGCCTTCTATCAGAATATCTGTCCAATGCGCCGTCGCGCACCTCCAGATCAGATCCCACAGACCATTCTCTCCTCTGTCTTGCCCCCGTCTTCCTCACCACCTCCTCCTCCTTCCTCTCTTTCCTCTCCTTTCTTTCCTTCCTTGCCTTCCTTCCTATCCGCCTCCCCTACCTCCCTCCCACAAACCTAAAACCTCTCAAAACCTTCTCTCTATGGCAACCGACCCATGGGCTTTGCCGGTGCAGCAATACGCAACCCATTTTTGCCTCATTTGTAAGATAGCTACTAGATAGGTAGTCGCCTACGGCGTAGCTCTACCCGCCCTATAGTTCGACGCGGACTCTACTAGATCCCGTGCCCTTAAGGCACGTGGACTAACCGGGCGTTAAATAAAAACACGA